GACATCTGCTCCCAGGGGGCCTGCTCGGCAAAGCCAAACAAAGTCATAAAAGCTACCCAAATCCTCAGGGTTGGCCACTCAGAAAACTGGAGATTGGGCTGAGATCAAATCAAGTGGTTTCCTGAAGGTCACGCAGATGATTAGAAGCCAGAGTGAAAGCTAAGTCCCCAGGTTCCAAACCCCAAGGTCAGCGTTTGCTTGTAAGGCAGGGAAAGGATGTTAATTTTGTTAAAAAGTTAAAATATCGGCCCCGGCCTGAGTAGGCATCCCCCACTCCAAAGACAAAACGTGTGCCTTGTGTGTGTGTGAGCGGGAAAGAAAGAAGGGGAAGGGGAGAACCTTGCTAAACCTTGATAAGTCATAGGAGGGCAGGATTTCCCCACCTCGGCCCTATTGGCATTTAGGGTGGGATAATTCTGTATTAGTAAAGTGGAGGGGCAGCAAGAAAGAGGAAGGCCCTCAGCAAGATGGACACAGTGGCTGCCACAATGGGCTCAAACACAACTGTGAGGGTGATGGGGACCTGGGCGGTGTTTCATTCTGCTGTACATGGGTCACTATGTATCAGAAGTGGCATCTAACAACAATTCTTCATTAGGAGTCAGTCTCTGCACAGTGAAAGTGGTTAAGGAGTCAATTACCAGACAAAAGGTGGACAGCTGGCACCCACCCAGAGGTACGTGGCAATCTGGAACATCACAGCCTTCAAAACCCTAACATTCTACTCCACACAGGTGAGATCAACAAGAGATGGGATGGAACCAATTCCATGGCAACTAACAGCAATAATTGCTTTGCAGCGAGAGCTGCCCTGGGCCTTACAGGACACTTAGGAATATCCCCGTCCTTTGCCCATTGGAAAGAAGCCAGTACAAACCCAGGAACTAGGGAACAACAAGTGGTCTAAAATCAAAGGATGGGGCTGCATCAAGGGCAATGTAGCTGAGAGAAATTACTGAACCCAAAATGAAGGCCAAATATGACAGTGGGACAAGAGGAAAGCAAAATGAAGTAGAGGAAAGATCTAGGAGGCAAAGGACATCTATAGAGGTCTAAATACAGGCTTGTACATGTGTAAATATGTTAATATATAATGACAGGGAAATAAAACTATGTACATATATTTATATGTTATGTATTAAGGTAGCAGACAGGCACTGGGCCTACTCAAGTACTCCTTCAATGCAAAGACAATTTGTTCTAATAACCCGGCATTCTGTAATGCTCACCTTCCCAACACAATCGCTGAAGACAAAACAGGTGCATAAGCAAATGTGGTGAAGAAAGCTGATGGTGCCTGGCTATCAAGATACAGCATCTGGGGTCTTAAAGGTTTGAA